ATTAGTTCTGCTTACTAATTAGCCCCTGGCTCACCACCGTTCCCAAGCTATTTTGTGTGCCATGTGACACCTTGTACTCTAGCCTCTACTATAATGCCATAGTCAACTTCTCCCAGCCCCTGGCTCACCACCGTTCCCCAATTCTCGATGGACATGTGGAAGAATAACAGAAGTTAGAGAAGATAAACTTGGTTAGATGTTCGAATCTAGCCATGTTAAAATAAATAAAGTAGATGCAAAGAAAATCAATTGTGTTCCAGTCAAAATTGGTAGACGTGAGTGCAAAGAAAAAAAAACTCCCACATCGTCAAATCCTAGCCACTCGAATCACCTTGATGACACTGTCATTCCCATCTGGTGCCACCTTTCCCCACCTTTGAGTCATCCCGCTACCACCCGTGTTTCCCTTTCCCTTCCAGTCAGATTGTGTTGTTGCCATTCTCCTCGCCCGCTACTCCAACCGAGAAGTGGCCGCGCTACGAGACAAACGATGACAACCTCGACCTGCACCCATAGATTGCAGATGGCACACGCTTGTTCATAAGCAGGGGCGGAGACAGGACCCAGGCCCCCAGGGCCTGGGCCCGGGGCGTGAGGCCCAACTCCTTTGGTGAGTATACTACTACCTAATACGTGAGGCCCAAATCCAGGAGCAAAGCTTGAAGGCGGCCCGGGGCACGCTGTCGGCCTGGCTCCGCCCCTGTTCATAAGGTCATGTTGATTGTGTACTGGTTGCAATATTTTTGTTGTCATCATTGTCAAGAAAGATCTAAAGATAAACCAACCCTCTCATCTTGCTATGTTAGAGGAAGAACAAAGAGAAATGTCTAGGAGGAAAAATGTGGCAGCGCAGTGATAGAATGAATTCTTTAAATTCATAAATAAACCATATTTGAAATCCCAATGCAAATATTTACTCTTATAATACAAATTTATCTATTGGATTCGCTTTAGACTATGTTTGGTTGTATGATTTGGATGGCACGATATTGCATTGGGCTGAATACCAATTCTGCAAGCAAACTGAAATCAGTCTGAATACGAATGATGTTGTTTGGTTGTTCACTGAATTGGCTCATGGAATCTCATAGTTAGGCTGCAATTCCAAAGCTGCAGTCCGTGACTATACTCGCATGTTTATATAGTAGTCAGACATATTCGAATGATTCTAGAAATGAACCACGACAACAAAAATGTTCACACAATGGCTGCAATAATTCTTTTCTTGGACAGTATAGCAGCAAGCACATCGGCAACCATCATTAGAAGCACTAGTAGCAGAAGCCAGAAGATTCCTCTCTGAATAAAATTCATCAGCAACAACATTCAGCGTTCTTACAGATTCAGTGGGATTCAGTGTCAGCAAAATTCAGTAGCAGCAGCAGCAGCACCCAATTCCCACCGGGAGCTCCTCTTCTTCTCTAGGACATAGAAAAATCCATCACAGTAGCTATCAAGGACAGCAATACCATTCATCCATCTCTTTCTCTCACGGACAGAAAAATCTACCATCACAGTAGCCATGGCCCTGGGTGGCGACCTGCAGGGGTGCAGGCCACCGGAATCGAGCGTTGCGCAGGAGGGAGTGCGAGGGAGGCAGAGGCCGGCCGCCGTCGATTGGGCCTTCGAGTTCGAGGCGTGTGCTCGAAGAGGCGCGTCGAGGATCTGTTCGTGGCTGCCGACAGTAATGCAGATCTCGGAGCCGCGGGTCCAGAGGAGTGAGGTGTCGCGCGCATGGAGTGTGGTCGCCCTCATCAATCCGGTGGACGCACTCACGCACAATGCTGCTCGAAGCCTATGGTTGCGCGCCTGGGCGACCGCCGTGGTCGAGCTCCTGGGCGCCACCGCTCTTTCCTTTTTCTTTTTCTTTTTCACGAGGGGCGCCGCCGCTCTTGTCGTCCCGATGCCCTGCCTCTCCCCTTCTTCTTTCCGAGACCCGGTGAAGCGATTTCAGACAATGCGAAGGTGTGCGGCTCGGTATCGAGGGAGGGAGTGCCGGAATTGAGTCAATTTTTTCCCATCTTTTTTTTACATGTC